TTTTATTCAATTATAAATGAGAAGACGTTTCACAAGTCAAAAGAACACTAACGCAAAAGCAGAGATTACGGTTGGTTATAACGTAAATGATGATAAATCACGAATTATTCAAAATGTTAAAGTTAATGTTAGCCCTGAATTAACAAGGTCAGCAACTCAACCAAATTTATTAACTCGTGACTTACCGAAGAATGAGGAGAATGAAGAAAACCATGAGAATGGAGACCCAATCATTTTATCTGAACCCGGTAAAGAACCTGTTGAAATCCCCACATATCCAACATACCCCCCACCTCTTTCATCAAACATCGAGAACCCAGGAATATACGATTCCAGTCGCAATGCGCCATATAAAATAGACATTAATTCTGAATTAATGAAAATTTACCGTGATATAATAACTGATAATTATGATTCAATAATAAATTTAATTGATCAATCCGGTTTAATTATTTTACCTTATGAATCATTAATTCACATTATCGCCATTCTTTGTGATGTTCAAGATTCAGACGTTAAGATTCAATTTTTCATAGATGATGAGGTTTCATGCTGCGGAACAGTTGCAAAAATAAATCCTATAAAGGATATTAGCACAATTAAGATATCAAAGAACGGAACAACAACTGAACTTCATTTAACATATAATGATATTTATAATAAAATAGTTGATGAATATAAAATATCTCTTGAAAAATTCTTTGTTAAGGCCATTTAATATTCAAGCATTAACATTATTGAATAATAATCCTTTGAATCATAATCAATAATAATTGACCTTTCACCAGTTTCTATCGTTTGTTTTATTTCTTTTTGTTCCCCACTATCTGGATCGGTCATTGTAATTGTTTTTGTTATAGTATCAGCTTTATCTTTAACTTCAATCTTTTTTCCATCAGGATATTTAAACCAAAATTCCAAAAATTCGATATTGTCAATCTGTTCATATTTTAATCTATCAATTACATTTTTAATACCATCTGAAAATCTTATGAAATGGTCATTATATGGATTTGATTGAACTAAATTTGAATGAAGTGAAATATAACCCGATGATGAATATGACATCGACTCATATTTTCTGAAAACACTAAAATTTATAACATGAATGAATTTCTTATTCGTTGAATTTATGAATTCTTGAGGTAATCTTATTCTAGTTTTATTTATCACTGGAAAATAACGCTTTACCATATTTTTAATCGTAATAAAAATGTCAATTATCAATATTATTTCGAATAATAGTTGTGAATTAAATTTAACAGTTAGTGGAATTTATAATGTTACTCTCGTTTCTGTGAGTGGTAAATTTAATCCCATTCTTTTAGACCCTTCAGATTATATATCATTTATTAAAGATGACCTTGAAAAAACGTATGATATGTATATAAATAATGTGATAACGAAATGGGATATTAACACAATTTTAAGTTATTTAAATGAATCATTTATCGTTTGGTATGAAGAAAATTTTAAATCAAAACCTGATAAACTTTTTGAACTTGATGAAATAAATAACCTTATTAAATTCCCGCTGAAAATTAAATTTTGTACTCCTCATCTTCGTTCATTGTTGGGGATATTAAATTTTGAAAAAGATGTTGGGGATGTTTTGTATTCTGACACTGGTTCCAATTTCATTTTAATCAAATGTGATAAAGTTAATACCCCAATGAGATTTTCACATCAAACATTAGACCCTAACTCTTACCCATCAATACAAAACATTTTATCCATCAACTTAAACATATTTTCTTTATCATATCCGTTTCAATTATCCGGGAATTCATTTATTCTTCATTCAAAAGATTTATCAAATATTAAATTTAGAATAACTGACCTATTTGATTGTGATTTAGAATTTATGAATGAAATATTATGGCAATTTCAAATAGAAAAAATAGCTGATGAGATAACAGATTAAATATTTATTTTTAAATCATAATAAATGATTAAACAACAACAACCACAGCAACTTAAGGCACAGACCATTACTTACGCCACATATGCATATAATTCAAAGACGGCAGAACAAACACAAAGGTTGAAATATGGAGATTTGGAGATAGTATTGAAAAATGACCATTTTGAATTCGTTTGCAAAGGTGGTGCAGTGATATCAAATATAAAAGAAATTTTATTTATGAATTCAAAAATTAAAGGAATAACGGATGATATAACATCAATTCCACCAGAAGAACAAAGATATTACGCATTAAATGCATTTCCTAAAGTTTTGAAGATTGGAAGATTTAATTTAAATGAGGAATTCATAGAAGGTTTCCTAAATGACATAATGAAGAAGGCAGATAAGGAATATGTGGTTAGTGAGTTAGAGAAGAAGGCAGATAAGGGACTTGTGGCTAGTGCATTAATGAAGAAAGCAGATAAGGAATATGTTAATGAAAAAGATAATGAAATTATAGAAAGGGTTGAATGGTACCATGAACGGACATTGAAGATTTTAAAAACTAAAGCTGATACAGGATGGGTTTCAGGATGTTTAGACCTTAAAGCGGATAAAACTTATGTTAACGATGAGTTAGAGAAGAAGGCAGATAAGGGACTTGTGGCTAGTGCATTAATGAAGAAAGCAGATAAGGAATATGTTAATGAAAAAGATAATGAAATTATAGAAAGGGTTGAATGGTACCATGAACGGACATTGAAGATTTTAAAAACTAAAGCTGATACAGGATGGGTTTCAGGATGTTTAGACCTTAAAGCGGATAAAACTTATGTTAACGATGAGTTAGAGAAGAAGGCAGATAAGACTCATACACATACAAGTTTTACAACTGTTGCTATAGAAAGTATTGAAGGAACGGTTGAAGAAACTGGTGGGGATGTATTATATTGTAAACCTCCTAACTTTCCACAAGGTTTAACATCGGATGACGACATAACGACGATGAGAAACATTAGATGTAAAGATGTTTATGTCATGAAGGATGAACATAATATTAAATTCACTGCTCAAGATTTATATGACAAGAAAGCAGATAAAACAGAGCTTCAAACATTAAAGACAGAAATGCTTCAAACATTATATTCCTATAGGCTCTATTTATACGTCAATGAACTCAACAAATCCAGAAGTAGTACTTGGTTTTGGAACTTGGACTCAAATAGTCGACAGGTTTTTGTATTGTGCAAACTCTTCAAAGGAACAGGGGGAAGTAAAACGATTACAGGTGAAAATTTACCTGCACACAGTCACTACATAGATTTAAGTACATCTCAAGCGGGTTGGCATAAGCATAGATTGGGATTGGTCAGGAATGACAAAAGGTAAAGGATATGATGTTAAAGACGACGTTAAGTTTGCCATAAATTGTTACTGGAGTGACACTCAGGGAGAAGGAAACCATACACATCGCGTTTCAGGATATACGCAAACAACGGGACAAAGTAAAGACTACATGCCACCTTACATGACAGTTTACGCATGGTATAGAGTTCAATGAACGCTCAATGTTTGTGAAACAAACTTTAGGAGCTCCAAAAGAGCAAACGGCATAATTTAAATTTTTATTTTAGTATAAATGAAGATTCTACCATATGGTGTTATTGGAAGAGATAAAGATGGAAACCCAATATTTGATCCAAAGTTAAAATTAAAGTTACTGACAAGACAACAACTTGAAAAGTTGCTGAAACCAAAACAGAATGAAAAATGAGAAAATGAGAAAATGAGAAAATGAGAAAGAAAAAAATTTAAATTATGCAATTTTATTTTTATCATAAATGACCAAATTAATTAAGCCAACTATTTCTAAATTAATGATACCAATGAAATCATTTCATGGAGTACTTATCCCAGGTTCTTCACAATTAGCCGGGGCAAGTGTTGTGACTCAAGGTGGAACATTAGCGAATCCATTCAAATTATTAACTAAAGATGAACTTAATAAAATGATGATAAAATAACTGATAACAAAATTTTATTTCACTGCTACCATAAAAACAGGTGAAAAAACAGGTGAGATCTCACCTCTTCACCTAAAATATATTTTAGGTTAAAGCTTCCACGAGAGAAAAGATTCCTCATTCGCTAAGGATTCCAAAAATGAAAAAATCATTGATTTCGGCTGAGAAAAAATAGCAAAACCCTTCTTCCACGGGAACAAAGAAATAAAGAAGAAATAAAGTAAATTTTTTATTTATTCCCGTGGAAGATAGAGCACTTTTATGACACTTTTTATTCACGACAAACAAGACAAACAAAGAAAATAAGAAAATACGGCGCCGTCGCGGTTCGAACCACAGACCCTGACCCCTCCATAACACTACCTTAGACCACTGTGCTACGTAGCCTGTCGACATAAGATTTTATAAATTGCATATTTGACGTAAATTTATTTCCCAGTTATTCAAAAATAATTAATTATTGAATAACCTAAAATCATTAATGAAAACATAAACGATAACATTTATTTCCTGTGTTGTTGTCAAAATGTCATGTTGTCTCAAACTTTAGAACGGACTGAAAGTCCTGAGCTCCAAAAGAGCAAACGGCATAATTTAAATTTTTATTTTTATCATAAATGAATACCCCACAAGCTCAAAATTTACCACGAATCATAACAAGGGAGGAAATGATAAAAATGATGCAAGAACATGTTAAAAATAACAAACCACTAAAACTGAGAAAATGTGGTTATGCAGTAATGATGGAAAGAGAGATGTTGTCGAAGAGGAATAAAAATTAAATTTGGATTGAGTTTAAAAATTCATCTTTATTAAATTCATCTCTTCCAATCAATTTATTTATTCTATTAAATTCTTTTATTTTTGCTTCACTCAGTTTAAGGATTGAACGGTAAGTTTCTAATTTTTCGATTATTTCTTTCCTCTCTTTATCGTTTTCAACCCCACCGCATTGTGGCTTCTTTTTGTAATAGCATATTTTTGATTTAATTCTGTTTAGTTTCTTTTTATATTCATTGTCTGGACTCTTGGATGCTTCGTTGTCACTCATTTCTTACGAAATAAAAAAATTAAATATTATTTAAATATAATGGAGTAATAAAATAAATCGGAATTTCTATTAATTTATTGTTAACCTCAACTAATGCATTGCCGTTAATATATCTAACAAATTCAGCTATTGTGTCAAATCTTCGTCTTCTTTTTGTCATTGATTTATCAGTTTTTCCATAATCGAGATGAATCAAAACTTTATCCCCTTGTTTAAAATTCATGAGCCCCGAATTAATTTGTTCACGTTTAACATCATTCAACCTTTCCATTTGCTTTCTAATATATTCCCATTCTTTTGAAATATCATTTTTCATTTCCACCGGTTTCATGTTTATTGTTCTATGCCATGTATTATTGTAATAATATACTAACTGCTGTATGATGGAGTCATGATTTCCATCCCAGTATATCTGACCGTTAACCCCTAACGCATCTCTAAGAGTTCTCATTACCGCATCAACTATTTTATTATGAAACGTATATGGAGAGGATGAAAAGTAAAAATTAATTTGTGGGAAATAATGAGTCATAGCTGCCTGAAATCCTTTATCACCATCACCCCTGATATTATCTACTCTTTCATGATCTAGTAAGTATTGAATAGCTCTTCTTGTTTCCTGTTCTGTTTTCCCTTTCACTGGAATGCAATATAAATATCTGGTGTTAATGTTAATGGCAAATAAATAAGTAACGTTTCCTTTTGAATATTCTAAATGATCGATTTCATATGAATATGGATATGGTGCAAATGAAGGGCGACCAAATTTTTCCTTTAACGGTTGAATTTTTGGGTCAATTGGTTTATTTAATATCTTGAAATCCTTTTTAAAATCTTTTTGTTTCTTTAATGTTTGAAATGGATATAATAAAGTGAATGATGAAGGATTAACTGAAGGAGGAGGCGGTTTTGGTGTTGCAGGTACTGTCGTTAGAGGTTTTGGTGTTGCAAGTGGTTTAATTTTATCTGCTTTGATTTTGGATGATGAAGTTTTGGAATTCATTCCTTCCTTCATTAATTCTGGATGTATTCTATTCATTTGTTTTAAATATGCTGTATATAAAGGTTTAATATACTTTCCCGCTTCGAGTTTATGTTGAAGGATGAATTCCAAAAGTTGATCTTCATTTAAAAGTCGGGCTGAATATGGTTTAACTAATGAATCATAAATTAAAGCTTGTGCTTCATTTATGGTCTGAAGGACCTGGGTGTTTTGCACCTTTTGTTTTTGCTCCTTTTGCTTTTGCGGCTCAGGATTATATAATTTATATAATTCATCAATATCTTCTTCTGTTAATACTTTATTTTTGAAATCTTTCAATTGTTTAAGCTGTGATTTAGTTTTTCCCTTTGAATATTCATTATTTTTAATTTTGTCTTTAATTTTAGAAATTATTTTATCATGATATTTCAAAATTTCATTTTTATAATATGGATAATAATATTCCATATCATCACCCGTTATATTATTATTATATTTTTGGAGATATGATTTTAATTCATAATAACTAAGAAATTTTTGATTAAGTACTAAATCATCAATTAAATTTTCTAAATCTGAGTTATCCATTTATATAAAAATAAAATAAATGTTTTAAGGGTGCCCACCTCTTTGAATCATAGTATCAAAAACATCATTAACGGTTCCTTTTGTCTCTTCTGTGGCATTTTATTAAATAAATGGCATACAACATCCATTTTCACAACACACAGCCTTAGTGTGTGCTCCTGTTAATGCAGTCTTACCAATTGTTAAGCGAGTCATTGACCCATTTTTAAGTTGTAAATTAATATTCTGACCATCAAATATCACTTTATCATTTATTATATCCAAATAATTTTTAGGTGTTAATTGTTTATTTTGTCGTAAACTAACTCCTTTCATTTTTTGTGCAATCTTTTTAAAATCACTTCCATCAATTGAACCGTTGAATGATGTATAACACTTGGGGCATAAAGCAACCATGTTATCACCTTGTTTCTCAATTGCTAAACCCAATAACTTCTTCTCATGTGCTTTTTCTTCAGCTTTATTCTTTAATTTAGGTTTAAATTTCTCATCAAAACAAAAGAAATCAAAAGGTGCGAATTTGTAAATGTTTTTATCATAAAATTGTTTATCAGTAACAATTGCTTGAAATGCTTGAGTGTTAGGAAGATTTGGGTCGCCAGCGATTGCCCAATAAGATGAATCAGTATCACCTTCAATGAAATGAAAACGATTAACATTCATGCATTTATACATAAAATCATAAATGAAAACCAAATACCAGTATTTTGCGTTATCTAAAGTGAAGAATGCCTCTTGTAAACATGTATCACATCTATAAAATCTATCTTTAAGCATCACTTGATACGTATCTTCACCTATTTCTCTTATGTTTTTAAACTTATTTGACATACATGCAACGCGTGCCTTCTGTGCATTCATTATTTTAGTCTTTGCGTAATTTTGTGTATTCATTGCATCGTAACCATATGATCCATTAAGTGAAATCTTGCAAAATAAACTTTTTCCTTTATTTCCTTCTAATTCAGCCTTTTGTCTTTCGTTCATAAATTCGTTCGCAAATTCATTAAAGCAAGTGTTTTTCGTAAATGTTAAAATTGATTGAATATCATCAATGATAAAATGAAATCTGTCTATTAGATACCAAAGATAATAAGAAGAAAATGGTTGATATTGGTTGTGTGTTGATGCTAACTGAGTTAATTTTCTCTGTTTCTGGTCAACTGGTAGATTGTTTGATTTCATGTAATTATACATAAAACTGCCAATTGTTTTTTCATCTGTGATAATATCTAAGTTTCTTATTATTGGTAAAAAGTTTATGTAATCATTAATGTATTTTTCATCAATGTGACCCTTTACTTCAGCCACGAATAAAGTATTTTTCTTTCTAATAATTCCCAGTGCTTTTGCTTTCTTTGTTGCTGTATCACAAATGATAACACCATTCAATCTTCCCGGCATATACATTTTATGGTCAGTATATTGAATGAAATCATGAGGATTAGATGAAAATGATGAAGGATATAATGAATTAAAGTCAACTCCAACAAAATGAGTCATAATGTTGGTGGTGTCCTCATTTGATACAGTTTTAGTTTCTGGATTATATGAAAGTTTATTAATGTGCGTGATTCCTTTAAGATTAACACGATGTTGAACATTTGATAGACCACCAGTAATTCCATTACGGAGAATGTGATAAGCTTCAACTGAATCTAAAGTCATTGGTAAATTATTTTTTAATGCATAATTTCTTAAATTGATTCTTAAACGTTGAACATCTTCATCTTTATTTGATTTTACGACATTGCAATAACAACACATTAACTGACAATTTTCTTTGGTATGTGGTTTTTCATTATCGATTCTATCAATGTTGGTTTATTAGCATATGTAAACGCTTTACCACACATTTTGCATTTAGATGAAAGGATTAAATCGTGATAGTATTGATAGTCATCCATTGAAACATTGTTTTTAGTATCCCTTTCTGCTTTTTCATCTTGTTTCTTATATGATTCAATTTTATATTTCCAATACTTTTTCGTTAATTCAAAACTTGATTCCACATTTTCTTCTTCTGGATATGTTTCGTTAGGATTGAAGTTCTTATATGCTAACGCGTAACGAATCATTGATGCATTCGATGATAAAGAAAGATTATGAAGCATGTCAATTTTATAAACAAATGTTTCTTCAATAATTTTATCAATTGGGTCAATCATAATTTCAACGTCTTTATTGCAATAATGAATAAAATATTCTAATCTATTCTCAAAATTTTTAGCATCATTGAGATATATTTGATAATCTGAATCGGATATAGTTTCTTGAGTTAATGCTGAATAAAATGAATCTTTCGTGAATGGTTCCTTTTTATATAATTCATCTTCGTAATTTTCCCACGTGATGAATTGATAAGGGAAAAAGGATTTAACACGTGATTTATTGTTTCCGAAATCTTGAGTGAATTGGTCTAATGTCCCACCCGCTATATAATTTCTGATGTCAATAAATCTTAATTCATATGGACAGTTTGTTTTCTTTACAATGATTTGCTTAAATTGAGAAGATGAACCCAGCATTGATTTTATTTTCCATTTTGCAGTGTTTAAATCACGAAGAATTAAATTTAAATCAAACTTTCCCGAATTAAAACCTATGATATTCACTTTATTAAATTCTTCATCTAGAAGTTCTTTAAATGCTTCCTTTTGTTTCTCATTTAATGTATGAGACAAAGTCCCCGCCGTTTGGTCCGTTTGCGGCTTCATTAATTCTTCATATTGTTCAATATTTGATTTAGCAACTAATGAACAGGTTGAAAATAAAAACTCAATCCAATCAGAAATAAAAGAATCACTCGAAGTTAAGCAAAAATTCCTCGTAAATGTTTTATCACGGTCTACGACCTCGCCGCTTTGCGGCTTTATTTTGACAGTTGATGATACCATAAATGGTTTTAAGTAAGCGTTCAAAGTTGCACATTCAGAAAGTTGAAGTTCTTCTTTAGTCTCTAATGTTTCGAAGTCAAAAGTAATATAATATCTTGTTGGTTTATAATATTCCTGCAAATTATGTGCTAATAGCCATTGATATATCTTCTGTTTCGTGATATGTGGTGCATATGGTTGTTGTGTGTTTTGCAATTGAACGTCTTGAATTAATCTTCCATTATTTTCTTTACATTTCTCACAATGTTTTAAAAATCTTCTTTGGTTTTTCCTTTCTGGATCATCACGGATAGAATATACTTCTTCTTTGCAAAAGGGGCAAACTTTATATCCTGTGAGTGCTTCAACGTCTGTTATTCTGTCAGCGTGAAGTTTTCCACATGGACTCTGTGTTAATAAAATATTTACTGTTTCAAATTCTGGATCTATCATTATTGATTCCACTAATGGAAAGTCTACCTTATTTATGTCTACGTCTTCTGGTTGAGGTCACAATAATAAAAATCAATATTAACGTTTAACATTCTTGCTAACCTCTCACTTTCTGATGAAATGTCAAACCCTTCATATGCATCTATTGCTTCGTTTAAATAACTTCTACGAGTTTTAGGATTAACACCATCAGGAATGTTATAGAAGCGTTTAAATAACCTTCTACCTTCTGCTCTAATTTGATTATCATTCATTTTAGCTGTTCCGTTTTTGTTCATTTATGTAAGAATAAAAAATTAAAAAATAAATAAAAATAAAAAAAGTTATTTTTTTTAAAGTCCGAGACTCAGAGAGTCCAGGGCTAAAGTCCATAAAATGAATTAAGAAGACATAAATTTTTATCATCTGCGACGTGACGAATACATTTTAATTTACTCAAGAATGTGTACCCTGATACATTAAATCTAATTCCTGTCTTATTTAATTTCACAACTTTGAAAAGGAATGTATGAATAGCTATAAAATGATGAGATGATGTTTTATGGGTTGCTTCCATTTTTTCTGAAATAAATGAATAAATATAATGTTTATAAGTTTTCATATCTTTTATGTTCTTAATAACGAATGGTATAGACCTTTCAACTTCGTCTTCCTTCGGTGCTGTTCTTTCATATGAAACATTATTGGTATCTTCAATAATGAAACCACAATCGCATAAAATTTTATATGTACCAATTGTTTCTTTTGATATTTTATCTAACAAATCAAAAACTTTATCAACACCTGTACATTTATTTAAATAATAATTTGTGTAAATATCATGGTCTTCTTTCTTAATTGTATTTGTTGCATATGTTACATTTTTCAGTGCTTTTTTGAATTTTTCAGAATCAAGAGGAGGTGAAAGTAATATACATGGATAATCTCCATCGTCAATAAATTGTAACTTATGTTTACGAATAAATTTAGTACCTTCTTCTGAAAGTGTTTCATTTATTTCACCATCTAATAAATTTTGTGTTGATTCTGAGACATAATTTTTATATCTTTCTTCATGAGATTTCTGAACTGCTGATTCTGAAGCTGGGATATTCATTAAACCCTCTACTTCATTTTCATTATATTTTTCAACTTCTCTTAATTCCTTAATTTTTTCATCTATTTCATCTCTTATTTTTTCCAGTCTTTCAATTTCATCATATTCATCATCTTTAATCCGTTCTTCATAATATTCAGGGAAAACATCAGGTTCTTTAGGTTTTTCTTCTTCAGATGTGGGATATAAGAAATTTATAACATCATCTTTATTCATTTTTCCATCATAATCAAACTCATTTAAAAACTCCGCGAATTTTTGACAATTTCTTAAATAATATTTACTAACCTCATAACCCGCTTCCTCTAATATATCCTTTATTTCCTCATTTGTGAATCCCAATTTTTTAACGTCGTTAGTCTTGACACTCATTTTCATACAAATTAAAAAAAATAAATTATTCAAAAATGTAAGACATGAATTTTTAAAGTTTATTTTTTTATTTTTTTTATTTTTTTTATTTCATTATGTATGGGTTTAGTGTAAATGTCTTACAATTTTGAAAATTTTTTAAATCTTGATTTATTCAAAAACGTAAGAATAAAAACCGTAAGAATCATACATTTTTTACTTCATATGTTAAAAAAAATGATACAAAATCGCTCGATATTGTATGAATTCTTACGTTTACAAAAAAAGTCACAAAACCCGCATTATATACTACTTAAAAAATCTTAAAGAAAATTTTATGTTTCCGGATGTTCTATATCATATTTTATGATATCATTTGATTGGATAGCTATTTGTCGACTGAAATTACAAAGGTCATGTAAAGTGGTTGTTTATAAAATCTAAACCCTTAAATTCTATTTTAAGTTTCTTTTATGGAGTACAGTATAGCAAGAGATAAAATACCAGGCAAAATTGAAGTTGTTCCTGAGGAGTGTGCTATTATTGTTAATTACACCCTTCAAGTCAAGATATTTGATCAAAATTATACAACAATTGCAGAAAGATCACGTGAAAAGTCAATCAAAATCAATTTTACAGGCATGAAACCAGACTCTGATTTAGAAGAAGTCGCTGATACATTAATCGATCAAACAGAGCTACTTAGAGCAGATAATAGAGACGATCTCATTAAAGCATTAATGGAATTACAGTATGGTTGTGATGGTAAGTATGTTGCAGGACCCAATCAACCGGATTCTCCAGTTAAAAATACAACAAAGCAAATTACATCCATCGTCAAGTCAGGAGATGTTAAAAGTTTAGCCATCAGTATGTCCAAAAAAGAAGTTGACACAGCTATGCACGATTCTCTCGTCAAAATCGGTATGGGATCAAAAGAAGATGTCCGAAAAACACTTGAATCACTTGTTAAGATTGCTTCATACGATCGCAACCTTGCTCTCATGGTACAGAATGATCCTCTCATTACGACTCTCTGCACTACCCTTAAAAATTACACTCAAAAAGCAGATTTAACAATTTGCTCCCCCATCATGCAGATTTTTGAGCGTATTTCATTGTTCAGAAACTTCCACGATCTCTTCCCAAGATTCAAAATCGGCCAATTAGTTCTACAAGTTTTATTCGGTATGATAAAAATCGCAGATAAGGTCCAAGAGTCACAGAAAGACATCTATCCGAGATATGTTAAACAGCAAAACGTTCTCTTACTACACGTTATCAACGTTTTATACAATTTGACTGATAATTCGAATACTACGAACAAATTAGTCGATAACGGTATTATCACAGGTCTTGTTGAACTCATGAAGCGTTCTAATCCAGAATTACTTACTTCTGTTCTCAGATTCATTCGCAAACTCTCAACAATTAAGTTAATTTGGTCAAATCTTGATGCAGATGAGATTATCAATTCCATAAAAGAAGATATATACAACAAGATCAAGCCTGGTGGTGATAAAACTAACATTGCCATGGCCCCTGTTTACAATGAGACATTAGATCTTCTTTTCAGGTTTTCAGAGCATCCAGAGACTCTAGAGATCTTCCGCCAGACCAAACTCTTCGACAGCATGCAAGGATTGTGCGAAATCAAAGCTTGCAGACTAAATCTTTTGTCATTCTTCTACCAAGTCTCAAGAATGCGCTCATCCGATGAAATCTTCAAGCCACAACATGTATTGAACATGCTTGTCCAATGCGCGACCGAAAATGGCAAAGAAAGACAGATCGCGTTAGTAGTTTTGATGAAATTAACATCCAGTGACAAAGAAGTCAGTGAAGCCATTTCTAAATCGCCTGTTTTCACACACGAGAACATTAGGAACATCTTCATTGATTGCACTAAAGAAGGAAGTGGCAAAGAATCATCAACATTACTTAAATTAATCAGAAATGTTGCAGATAACAATCCATCATTAGTTGAAGGATTTGATGACCAAATAATGTTGGCAGCAGTTAAATACAAAGACCAATACGACACATTAACTGATATTATGGCCGTTGCTAACAGATCTGCAATAGATTCATCGAGATCAAAAGTTTTCATGAGCAACAAGAATTTCATGGATTTATTGATAAATGTTCTTGAAAAATCTACATCAAGGAGAGTTCCTCCACAACTTATTCTTGAGATTGTGATGTTCTGTGGTTCTCTTCTTTTGTACAGTAAGCCTGCAAAGCTTTTGGTATCAAAGAACATTGTTCCTTTGACTTTGAATGTTTATAATAATTTCTCTGATGATTATGATATGGAAACACAATGTTTGTACTGTTTCTACATGTTTATTATTCACGGAGATTCAAGAAAACAATTGCTGGAAGATAAGTCAATCGTTGACAAGGTAATTGCTCAGTCAGGATCAACTAATGTCGTGTTGGCTGACATGGCAAGCAAAGTTCTCGACGTGTTGATGATATTTGATAAGTCAATTCCTGAGAAAATTAGATTACCTAGGTTCCTGGCGTATAACCAGGACTGGCTAAGACAAATGGGACTTACAAAGTAAAATATAAATATATTTTTAAACTGATTTTCCTAAGAAATGATTTTTTAAGGGTGCACTTACCACTTTCTGACATTCTCTCAATTTTTTTGACACACAAGCTTTCTATCCCAATAACCTAAGGTCAAAAGTTAATATTTTTGGTCAGGAGAAAGTAAATATGAATCATTATATAGTACCTAATATGACTTTTATATTGATTTTTTCATAGCATGTCAGAAAGTGGTAAGTGCACCCTTAAGGAGGACTTAGATAAAATCAACATATCTTGATTTTAATGGAAAAAGAGTATAATAGCCATGTTGGGAACTAAGCAGTGTTTTATAATAAATTTTTGTCGATCAAAATTATTAGCTTTTTATCATTGAAAATTGAGATATAAAGCTTGTGTGTCAAAAAAATTGAGAAAATGTCAGATAGTGGTAAGGGCACCCTTAATATTTTTACATTTTTGATGAACTGAACAGAGGTGTAGCATGCTTTGAAATTACAAGTTACATAGATTTTTGTGATTTTTATGCAGCCAATGTAAAACTAAAAATTACCGACTATTTTTTTTTGAAAAATTTTTGAATTTTTTTTTCCAGTTTCATGAGTGAATTCCCTTATGACGTACTTATGGATTCTTTGAAAGAATACAATGATATTTTGTGTAGATTATATAGGCTAAAGACATCAAGAAAAGGCGATATCGACGCTTTTTTCAAAGAAATTGATAAACAAATATCAAAATACCTTGAATATTCTTCCAAATATGATTTTCTTGTAACAATTACAAATGCTGCAAAAGGAAACAATGGATATATTAAGTCTTATTTGACTTTAATGGGAAAGATTCTCCAAAAATATCATCCTAATGATTTGTACGAGACTTCATTTGGTCAATACATTCTAGAGAAATATTTTGGAATTAAATCAACTGAATCTAATCAGTCAAAAATCGGTGACTTATTAAAATCACTTATTTATGATGATGTGAAATTACTTGTTTCATATACAGAATTATCCGAATTTTCTCATATTGATAGCATCAATTTTACTGACTTTCCATGTGTGAAAAGTCATTTAACTCTACTTGAAACATGTTGTTATTACGGCTCAGTTAATTGTTTCAAGTTTTTGAGAACAAAATTCTCTGCAGAAATTACAGAATTATGTCTTCAGCTTTCATTTTTAGGAGGAAATCCTGATATTGTGAGTGAATGCTTGAAATATCACGAGCCAAATAAGAAATGCATGAAATATGCAATTATGTCTCACAACATAGATTTTGTTACATTTCTCATGAACGAATATAAAATTCCAATTGATGTCGACTATTGCATAAAATACGATAATATCCAAGCATTTTTAATTCATTATGATCAAACAAATGATTTGAAAGGATTCATTGTTAACACTTGTTATTTCCCTTTTGTGTGGAAAACCATTTTTATAGTATATTTCAAACAATTGATAAAAAATACCAAGAACTTCTTTACACTGCTAAATCAATTGCACTTTATCGCTATGAGTCATCTTGCGAAGGAGATTTCAATTTTAAAGATGATTCCGGGAAAACTATTCTTCATTATGCTGCAATATATTTTCATGATGATATCGATATTGATTTTTTGTTTTATAATGGAACAACTATCATCAACGAACAAGACATTGAAGGGAAGACTGCTCTACATTATGCAGCCATTAATGGCAAAAAGAATTTTGCAACACATTTACATGATGGGCATGCAGATTTTGATATAAGTGATAATGAAGGGAAGATACCTCTACATTATGCAGTAATAAGTGGTGATGTGGAAACAGCCTCAACAATCATAAAATATACCAAAAATATAAGAAAAAGAGATAACAATTCGAAATTTCCTCTTCATTATGCCATCAATCATAAAAAAATGTTCAAATCCCTAGTTTGTGTTTCTAGAAAGCATACCCAGTATTACCGACCTGAGGATGCATTGGAATTGGAGGCCTTTGCAAAACCATCCATACAAAGTTTGATTGATTATTTGAAAAGTGAAGAGTGGAAGGAATTACAGCGGCTTTCACAAGAATACGTGTTATTGGACAGAATTTTTCGTTGATGATTTGTTATTAAATATAGAGAACTTAATAAGTTTTTACCATTGAGCAGGATTTCATAATCGGTAAATAAAATTATTTATAATAGACAGTATTGCTCTTTACACTACATGATATTATAATTCTAAAGAATTAGCTGAAAAATTGGAGAGATGGTCAAATTTGCTAGTTATCAGTTTTTTCTTGTGATGATCAATTATTTTGTGAAAAACAACTCAATATGTGAATGCGACCTGTAACTCACTGAGACAATAATAAATACTGATATTGATAAAAATTGAGAAGCGGTAATTAAAATTCATTTTATTTATTTTTCAGTGAGGACCCCTCAAATATAAAATGTAAACTTCTGTGTATTCAATTGGGATTTATAAACCTCATTACAATAATTTTAAATTACCAGTATCAAGAAATCATATTATATTTCATGAACGATTTATCTCTCAATAAATTGAATTGTCATTAAATTTTGAAATGACAATATTAAAACAATACTTATTAATGGTAATCAACTAAGATTACAAAACATAAATATCATATTTTAAGCTAATTATATGGCTTAATTTATCTAATTTAATAATAATTTTTACCAAACTTGAATAAATAGAAAATTTAAATTGTAAAGAATAATAAGCTTATTCCAGCATCATTTTTTCATCTGACTTATTTGATATTTTATCTTTTATCTGTGAATTACAATTTTTATTTTTGGCTTGAAGCAATCAATGCCAACATTGAATAGACATTTAATGTCACCTATATGACTAGGTTTTCATAGGAAAGTCTGTGACAATGATATCAAATTATGGTAGTGAAATTACTTCAATATCCAATATAATATAACCAATATTCTGAATTCAAGCTCCTTGATTTGAATTCACAGCAAATCATTATCCAGATTCTATCAAATTTTCTTGCTGCGCAGGTTCAAATCAAAAGAAAATCATCAGATATGTTATTTTAAAAACTTCTAAAATAAATTTCAAAATGAGTGAGAGTTCAAAAATGAATTTCCACGAGTTGATGTCATTATACAAAGAATACAATGACACAATTGATGCACTGTATAGGCTAAGGACCACCAATGAAGAAGCCTTAGACAAAATTTGTAATGATATCAAAATTAATTTAATTGAAACAAAATATTTATTGCCATCTTATATGATATATACAATATCATTTGCAGCAAGATGCAATAATCGTTATCTGAAGTCATACTGGTACATATTCAAAAAGATTTATGAAGAATATCGTTCTGACCATATTAATTACTTCCCACGCGGATTTGACTATTTTGTTTATAAAGAATATGGTATTTGGTTAAATGATGAAAATAAAATATCTCTTGAAAGAATTGAAACCGAAAACATTTCATTGGAAGTTGTTAAACCAGATACCATTTTCGAATCAATAATGAATGACAATATCGAGGCATTTACATCATTCACAGAAAGCCAAGAATTTGATAAAAATGATGTTCTTGTTTCTCCTTTCTTTATAGACGCAACTCAACCATCATTACTTGAAGTTTGTTGTTATTATGGTGCGACAAAATGTTTTTCTTTCTTAAGAGAAAAATTTAATTCAGAAATAACAAAAAGATGCCTCCAATTTTCAATTCTTAATGGAAATTATGTACTTGTAAAAGAATGTCTGAAAGTTGTTGAACCAGACGATGAATGCATGGAGTATGCAATAATATCACACAATATTGCTTTCGTTACATTTTTGATGATAGAATACAAACTAACCATTAGTTTATTTAAGTGTGGTGAATATAATAATCTTCAAGCATTCTTTGTTTATTTGGATCAAACAAATGATATCAAAAATTGCTTCCTTTATTCCCCATTATTCAATATCCCATCCCTTTGCAAATATTTCCTTTCTCAAGGTGCAAATATTTATGATAGAGATAGTGATGATGAGCAAACAGCTCTTCATATGGCATCCTATTTCAATGCCGTAGAAACTGCAAAATTTCTTATTACAAATGATGCAACTATCAATAAAAAAGATATTGATGGAAACACACCTCTACTCATTGCAGCATCAAATAATTCTAAAGAAATGATTGAACTTTTAATCCAGAACGAAGCAAACATTTATGATCGAAATAATGACAAAAAGACTGCACTTTATTTGGCAACAGAAAATGATGCAAGCGATGCTGCAGAAACTCTTATATTACATGGCGCAAATGTTAATGATTCATATAATTATGGCGAAACAGCTCTTCATGTTGCAGCTGAATTAAATAAATTGAACATCGTGTCTGTTCTTGTTTCTCATGGTGCAATTATTAACGCTAAAGAGTATAAAAATGAATCAACTGCGCTTCATAAAGCTTCAATTAAAGGCAACACTAATATTGTTAAGATTCTTTGTTCACATGGTGCAGATGTTAATGCAATAGATTCATATCGGAAAACATCTCTTGATTATGCAAAAGAAAATGACAATGAGGAAATTGAAGAACTTTTAAGATCGCATGGTGCAATTTCTAATTCATTGGATAATTAAAAAATATTCAAATAATGAATATTTCTCGAATAAACAATATTTATTCTAAAAAAAAAAAATAATTTAAATTATGTGAATGCAACCAAATATTGAAAATGATTAGTAATTGAATGGTTATCAGTGACACCATAAATACGACTTCTTTTCTCAGGTGACATTACACTTAATTAAAAAATGCACGTTTAAAAAAACGATTATTTACAGAATTGAAATCGCCCCCCCTCCAAAAAAAAATTCACTACACCAAAAGCCCCATACTGTATTTAGCTTCGAATCAAAATTAGCTCAGAAATGTCAATAATTGTATAAATGTCAATTGTAATTTTTTTTACTGATTTAGGATATAAAAAAAATTACATATGAACACAGAACCTCTTTGGCTTCAGAAAGTAAAGCAACTTCTTAAGAAAAGTTATTCACTTGATTTATCTGGAGAAAATATCACAGACATCAAGCTTTTCCCACGAACAACAGCTTTGAAGCATCTAAATTTGTCATACACTCAGCTTAAATCACTCCAGGGTTTGAAATTACAAAAGGCGCTCCAAACTCTTTCAATTGAAGGTTCTTCTATTTCTAGCTTTGCTGGATTTTCAGTTGTTCGCTCAATATCGAACATTACACTTAAAAGATCACTCGTCGAAAAAATTCCAAATTACCAAACTAGCCTCTTAATTGTTTGCCCCAATTTACATACAATAGATGGAAAAGTTGTTAGATCTTCAACAAAAATTATTGCACAGAAGCTTGCCGAGAATCCATTAATTCCGAAACTTGTCAACCTTGGTTGGATTGCAACATACCCAATAGAGGATGAAGAAGTTGAAGAATTGGCCAGACAATTCGGAATTTTGGATGAACATTTGACCGCCACACATTTTCAAGGCGACCATCAAGGCGATCAATTTGAAGATGAGCTTCGCCGCATTGACGAGGAACATAACAGAATCGTTGAAGAAGCAAAGAAATCTTGCGGTTTTGCAACTACAGACGCTGAAGGAATGGAGTTTCAAGAGGAAGAGTTCCAAGACGAAACTCAAGTCGAAGCATCCGGTTCCGCTGATATCCAACACATTGACGTTCCAAATTACACATTATTGGACAGAGTCGCAACAATATTAGCATTTGCCGGCCATCAGATCGATCCGAAAAATTTACAAGAGTCAGTACTTCGTATCATCGAAAATCTTTGCGAACAACAATACCAAAAACTCAGTACATTTGCTGATGACGACGCAGAGGTCCAATTAGAGGAAGAAGACTTCGCTGCGGAGGAACAGATAAATGAAGAAGACGCACAGGAAGTAGAAGAAGAGAGTTCTGAGCCTCTTCAAGAAGATGAATTAGCTTTACACGAAGAAGACGAGGAAGAAGAAGAAGCAAAACCTGCTGCTGTTGCTGAAGAGGAAGAAGAACAGAAGAAGGAAGATGAAGTTCCTCAAGAAGAAGAAAAAATTGAAACCCAAGAAAAGGAAACAAAGCAAGAAGAGGAAGAAACAAAGCCAGAAGAGAACAACGAACAACATAAAGAGGAAGAAAACCCTGTAAATGAAGAGGAAGAAGATGATGACAATTTTGATGTCAAACAATTACTTGAAAAATTAGGACAAGATGTCGAAGAAGAAGATGAAGAGGAAAATGCGAATGATGAAGAAGGATTACCTGCCATTGACGAAAATTAGAATTTTTATTTGATTATTTTTTTATTAATGTTCAACAAATAGCTTATATAAACCGAATTTTTAATTTTGTTTAACTTAAAGGATTTAAATTCCAAATAAAATTGATTCAATCAATGATATTTTTCAAATTAACCCATAAATCGGCCAAAACTATATAAGATGGACACCAAACATTTTAAACAAGATGCTAATATTCTTCGTACTTGATTGAAGTAAAAAACAAACTTTAAATATTGGCATCCAATCTTCAAATATAACTAATTTTGGTTCTTGGATGCCATTTATGTAATGTCATTAACTTGTTGGCTACTTTCATTTATTAGGATTTCACACAGCACAATAATTTCAATGAGTTTTCTCAATTATCCATTTTTTATAATTCCTATTTTTTAGAGATAAATATAATTCTTATATGTTATTTAATTCAACGTTCACGATCTGAAGTTCAATTTTTTTCAATGTGGGTACCTACGATTTTCGTAGGTATCTGGTGGGCGTATGAGGTTCTCACTCTTATCGTTTTAAATAGATTTGATTACCTCACACGTGTTTTTATGGCAATTCCATTCGGAATCCTTTATCAGAGTTTATTTGCTTTTATATTACAACTTTGGATACCATGGGGAACAAAATTGACGCTCGTAATTGATATTTCACTAGGTGTATTTGCTACTATATGCCATTTTATTTCAAGAAAACGTCATCCTTCTTTAATCATTTCAATTTCTTACATAGATGCTGCATCTTTAGCTATTTTCTTATTATGGATTCTTAAAAGAATGGATTATATTAACTTGAATGGCGAAGGTTTATCAGGTGGAGCCTGTTATTCAGACCATTCATTCCAATTCAATCTAATAACATCATTTGCTGTTGGTATTAACAGAAAAAGAAAGTCTTTATTCGATATCGAGTTTCCAATTTCAGTAGGATCAAAGCTTGCTTATCCTGTCCTTCCGAATTTCTATGTTGCCTTTTTGGCAGCCTCTTGCAACTGCAATTTTCGAACAGCATTCAGAGTGACTACCTTCCTTGTCGGATTATCATGGATTTATTTACTTCATCAATTTGTAAAATTATTTACTCGATCTTCTATTGCAGCAGCAGTTGCGCTTCCAATTTGGATATTTAGTGGAGGCCTTGGATGGCTCGAAATCTTCGAAAACGGCTTCTTTAATTACTATTCGAATCCAAATTACATTCACAGATGGACTAGAGTCAAAAATGTCTTTTGGTTCCAATCAATAGCCCACATATTCAACCCTCAGCGCTCAGCAACCTTCGTTTTCCCACTTTGTGCAATAGTATATATTTGTTTATGGGAAGGCACTAAAAAGTTCGATTGGCGTTACTTCCTTGTAGCGGCATTTGCTGTTGGCATCACTCCTCAAACACAAGTACACGCATATGTTGCTTTGGCTTTGTTATCTTTATCATTGGCCGTAACAACCTTTAAATTTAAGTACTTTTTAAAGTTGGTCGGTTGTTGGACTCTCTATGGCATTGTTGCCAATGTCATTGCTTTCCCACTCTTGGCACCTTTTGCCATTCGTACTGTTGAAAACAAAGAATTCATCATTGTTAATCCTGTCTGGAAAGATCCGAAATTTGGTCAAGGAGGGTTTTTCCATATCTTTTGGAACGCTTTAGGATGTACCGGTGCTATTTCCTTAATATTTGGTTTTGCTACTGCTGATTTACAACAAATCAGATATTATTTAGCAACATTTCCTATTTTGTTAATTTCTTCTTTCATCATGTTTCAGCCATGGGAGTTAGATAACACTAAACTCCTTCATGACGGATGGTTCCCAATTGCATGTGCTTTTACAGCGAATTATTACATGAAATTATTATTGAAAACGAAAAATTTAAGTTTTGTTACTATAATTGTTACTATTTATATATCAAGTTTATTATCTGGTATTCTTAGTTTGTATACAACAGAGAGTTTCCTTGTTCCTTTCTACAGCCATTACAATAAAGAAGCTGGAGATTGGGTATCAGAAAATACTCCTGTTCACGCAATATTTCATTATCATAAACATGTTTTGTGTCCTTCGTCATGTTTCGCAGGACGTGTTATATTCTCTGGTTATCCAGGATGGACGTCAAGTCATGGTGCAATCAATGATACAAGAACGAAATCATTGTATATGTTGGATGAAGGAATTTCTTATTATGAATACCAGAAATACGATATTTCTTATGCATGGAAAAGTGAAGGACAGCCGCCATTCGCTGATACGGTTGATTTTGCGGAGTTAGTTTTAGAAAGAGGACTTCACAGACTTTATAAAATTGTTGATCCAAAAGATCGAATGCCTATGATGTCTAAAAAGAAAGAAATCGAAAATGACAAAAAGAAGCAGAAGAAAAAGAAGAAAGCAAAGAGGACTTTTAATTTTTAGTTTGATTTTTGTATGTTTTTATAAAGATATTGTTTTTAATATGTGATTAACTTTGTTTAAGTATATATTGATTCCTTAAAAAGAATTATTGAATTTACAAGTAATTGGTTTAATTAGCATTGAAATGTCAAAATAATAGGCTATAACAATTTCCCAAAATAGTTAAATATCAATGAATCAATTTGATAAAAGGAAATAGTGATTCAAAATGAGTTTAACTTTGTTTTTCATCTTTTATCATTATATCATTGGTTTAATTAGCATTGAAATGTCAAAATAATAGGCATGTATAAGATTTCAAAGAAAAAAAAGAATTGTTTTGATATTGATATTTTTATATCATTAGTTTTATAATTCGAATATAAGATAAATGAAATGCATGCTTTTGTATGATATGCATATGTTGTGTTTATGTGTATTTGTTTCTTTTTGATGAGATTTTTTTTGAATTGAGATAACACTTTATTGGGTAAAATGTATATTTATATAGTCTAGTGTTTATTCGATGGTAATTTTTAAGATTTAATTTTTTTTTGTTGACGAAAAATTTAAAACGTTTTCTTAGAAGATAAATCATGTCAGCTGCTAAAGAGACAAAGGGACGTGGCGAACTTTCAGAAGAGCAGCGCCAAGAAATTCGCGAGGCCTTCGATCTTTTTGATACCGATGGCTCAGGCTCTATTGATGCCAAGGAGCTTAAAGTTGCTATGAAGGCACTTGGCTTCGAACCAACAAAGGAAGAAATTCGTCGTATGATCTCAGATGTTGATACAGATGGCACTGGTGCAATTAGCTTTGCCCAATTCCTTCAGATGATGACCAAGAAGATGGAAGAGCGTAATCCAGAAGACGAAATCCGTAAGGCATTTCGTCTTTTTGATGATGACAATACAGGTCGTATTTCATTCAAGAATCTCAAGCGTGTTTCAGTCGAACTTGGTGAAAATCTTACAGATGAAGAGCTTCGCGAAATGATCGAAGAAGCAGATCGTGACAACGATGGTGAAGTTTCATACGAAGAATTTGTTCATATCATGAAGAAGACATCACTCTTCTAAAATATTTTATTTTTTTTATACTAAATACTCATAATCATATTTAGATCTTCTCCGCTTTCAAATGTTGCAATTGATTGTTCACTATAATCATAGCAATTATGAAAAAATTCGAATAATTTATGTTAAATTTCTATTATTATTGCACAGTAACTTATGAATCTTTAAATTGATGACGAAGCAATAAAATATAAATCACCAAAGTAAAAGTAAAACTAAAAATTAAATAAAATATTTTAGAAGAGTGATGTCTTCTTCATGATATGAACAAATTCTTCGTATGAAACTTCACCATCGTTGTCACGATCTGCTTCTTCGATCATTTCGCGAAGCTCTTCATCTGTAAGATTTTCACCAAGTTCGACTGAAACACGCTTGAGATTCTTGAATGAAATACGACCTGTATTGTCATCATCAAAAAGACGAAATGCCTTACGGATTTCGTCTTCTGGATTACGCTCTTCCATCTTCTTGGTCATCATCTGAAGGAATTGGGCAAAGCTAATTGCACCAGTGCCATCTGTATCAACATCTGAGATCATACGACGAATTTCTTCCTTTGTTGGTTCGAAGCCAAGTGCCTTCATAGCAACTTTAAGCTCCTTGGCATCAATAGAGCCTGAGCCATCGGTATCAAAAAGATCGAAGGCCTCGCGAATTTCTTGGCGCTGCTCTTCTGAAAGTTCGCCACGTCCCTTTGTCTCTTTAGCAGCTGACATGATTTATCTTCTAAGAAAACGTTTTAAATTTTTCGTCAACAAAAAAAAATTAAATCTTAAAAATTACCATCGAATAAACACTAGACTATATAAATATACATTTTACCCAATAAAGTGTGAGTAGGGGTAATTTTAGCTAAAAGTGACACGCCTGTAAAAAGTGACACACCAATGAAGGGTGTGATTACCGATCGGTAATTTCGACAGTTTAGAATTTAAAATTTTTTATGGAACTGTTGCGAGTTTCATAAAGAATTTAAGAAATATAAGCAAAGATTTGAATCAAAATCTTAGACCTAAGCCGCTCGATTCGCTCGCGGCTTCCGCGAATTACAGATCAGCAAAGATTTGAATCAAAATCTTCGAACTAAGCCGATCGCTTCGCTCGCGGCTTTCTTTATTATTTTAAATTTGCATATTTCCATCAAAAGTTCATAAGGTAAAAAATTTCGTTTATTTTTACTAAGAAAAAAAAGGTTTTTGATAATAAATTTATTTTATTTCGAAAAAGTAGCAATAATCGTAAAAGGGTATTGATAGGCTTGCTAAAGTAACTAATTTTAGCTGTCAAATACTTTTGTATTTTGAAGTAAATTAGTATAAATTTGTTTTTACTTTTATTTCGAAAAAGTAGCAATAATCGTAAAAGGGTATTGATAGGCTTGCTAAAGTAACTAATTTTAGCTGTCAAATACTTTTGTATTTTGAAGTAAATTAGTATAAATTTGTTTTTACTTTTATTTCGAAAAAGTAGCAATAATCGTAAAAGGGTATTGATAGGCTTGCTAAAGTAACTAATTTTAGCTGTCAAATACTTTTGTATTTTGAAGTAAATTAGTATAAATTTGATATTATTTTAACTCCCTTTGAAAACCTCAATTTTCCATACAGAGGGAACGGGAATAGCATCCAATATTCCCTGAGAATGGTTGCGCATTCTCAGTTCCCTCTATATTTCGAACGAAGCTCTCATCGGTCTTTTTTTTAATACTAAACGTTTTTTTTCCCTGTCACTTTTAGCTAAAATTTGGGTTTGCCATAAAGTGTTATCTCAATTCAAAAAAAATCTCATCAAAAAGAAACAAATACACATAAACACAACATATGCATATCATACAAAAGCATGCATTTCATTTATCTTATATTCGAATTATAAAACTAATGATATAAAAATATCAATATCAAAACAATTCTTTTTTTTCTTTGAAATCTTATACATGCCTATTATTTTGACATTTCAATGCTAATTAAACCAATGATATAATGATAAAAGATGAAAAACAAAGTTAAACTCATTTTGAATCACTATTTCCTTTTATCAAATTGATTCATTGATATTTAACTATTTTAGGAAATTGCTATAGCCGATGGTATTTTAACCATCCTGTATCCTTGCATGAAGACATAAAATAATATTTGATCTCATTTTCAAATCACCATTTCCAAAGACTCTTGGCAGAAATTCTTTTTATTTCTGATTATCTCAACAAGGTTATATGTTAAATACAAGACAAAAGATGTTAATAAAATTATAATAAAATACAAACATTTTTTATTTATAATCAGGAAAGTATTCGTTAATTATATTGGTAGCAATTTGAGCAATCTCTTCATTTTCACTACTCTGAGCATTATAAAAAATATCTAATGCTTGATCGAAATCAATCATTGATTTAAATGAATCATCGAATTTAAGAAGTATTTCAATTGATTTCATAAACAAAAGATTGAAATGAGAAGATTTTGCGTTATCATACAAATCAAAGCAAATATGAAGCATATCTTCGAAATAATCTTTGGAAACAACAGCATCCTTTGCTGTATTCAAACAATTCATGAAGAAAAATGCCATAATTTCAACCTCATACTGATTATAATCTTCATTAAACGAATAAACGCAATCAAATGCATTAGATTCGATTATATCAGGTGCAAAGTTTTCAATTGCTGCCAAATTCGAAAGAAAGTAAATTGCACGTGATTTTGGACACATTGGATGGTCAAAAGTGTCAACAGCTGCCTGGATCAAATCCTTCTGAATTCCTAAGTCAATAAATTGGTCGGTGAACTCAAATAACAAAATTGACCAAAATTTCAATAATGAGCCGAATAAAACACCTTCTGATTCTTTAGTTGGCCAATTTAGTGTCAGATCTAGAATCTTTTCAAAATTATCATCAGTTATTATAAGATGGATGTCTCCAGAATAAAAAAGAATTAATTCTGCAAGTAAATCAATGATTGGTGCGAGATCTCCTTCTTCAATTATGGTATTCTGGGATGATAAAAGGTATTTAACGATACTTAATGGTTCTATAACAATTGATTGAAAATCATCAAAATTTTTTGAATCAAGATGGCGAATTATTGAGTAAATCAAGTATGCTGATATTAGTTTGCCTTTAGGATGCATCACTTCGATAAGTTCTGTAAGCACATGAACAATATTTACTTCTTTTTGAATAAAATTTGGAGCAATATTAGGAAATCTTCGAATCATTCCATCGATAAGCTCTGCTACTAGTGGAAATAAAACAGGAGCACGTATAAGTTTATAATATAAACGTATATTTTCATACATAAATTGTAATAAAATATTTGAGATTCTACAAAGATGATTTGTAATCCGGAGTGTAACTTCAACAATTGGGGTAGAGGGATATTGCAATAATTGAATGATTTTTCCTGGAATTTCGTAAGTTTGAAGAATATCATCAATTGAAGCTGATTTAAGGCGTGTAGAAGTCCAATCTATTCTAAACAATAATGATAAATTAGAATCTTCTAATTCTAATTTACTTATCAGATCTTCAAAGTGATTTTGAATTTGTATTTTCTCATTTTGGATTAATTTTTCATTATTTTTCAATTCTGTATCTCTAATTTCTTCATCAATTGTATTAGGATCAATATTATCATTTAAATCTGGCTTGTAGTCTTTAACACTGTGACTCATTCATTAAAAATGACTTTTGACTATATAACTGGCCGACCAAATTTTTATCACAAAAATATTCACAAAAAAATATATATCTTTTAATGATGAATTAGGTATGACACTATAGTGACACACAATACAATTAATATCATTAAGAGAAGTCTCCTTTTGGTACAGTTTAAATGCATCTTTCGTGATATTTAAAAAGATTTAAAGTATAGTATTATATACCCATATGAACTCATGTGTATAACTAGGTTATTTACACTCAATGAAAGCAACTCTATCTCAGTGAAGAATGAAATTTTGAAAATTTAAAAATTATTCAATTAGATGGTTAAAGAAATAGTAAACATTCAATAATTTTCATTAAATACATTCAGAAAGCCAGCTATAATATCCAATATACGGCAAATGTTTAATTGGCTCAATAAATAAGAATAAGGATTGAACGTAATATATTAATAAAAGGGGGTTGAAACGATCCCACAACATCAAGTTATATACTGAATAGAAAAAAAATCAATTTTGTTTTTTATAGTATAGGGCTAACAAATATGATTTTATTAATATATTATTTTTGAGTATCGTAAGAGGAATAAAAATCTCGAAATCTTGAGAATTACTTTCAAAGAAATTCTGTATCAGAGGTTGTTGATATTTTCTGGATTGGATTGGTTATAATATTTTCAAAGCCGTCAATATTTACTCCTTTTGGCGCCTTTTCTATATGCTTTCGAAGAGCAGCAATAATTCTATCCAAATTTTGTGTCCATTCTTCATCATATGAATTACATTTATCCTTAAGCTGCTGATCAATGTATTCCTCAATGATATCTGCACATGCTGCAAAAAATGAGTCTTCTCCATTATACAATCTTGTATTTGATGCTATTAAATGTATATCATCGACAAGTTGTTGAGGTTTTGTATATATACCGCTATTCAAATTTTGCTTAATTTTTGATAAATCCATTGGATGCTTTATTTTTTGCAGATAATCTGGTGCATCATCATGAACAGGATCAACAGGAAGCCTAAATGGCTTAGAAATAGGCATTCTATTGATCTCATTCAGAACCTTCCAGCACCATCCACGATTATATTCATTCATTGCAAAAAATCCCCCTAATGTCCCCTAAATAAAGAGCAAAGAGAAAATAAAAAATTAATAATAATACAAATATATATATATATAGGCAAGCTAGTGTTGCAAACCCATTTGGTTAAAAATAGAATTCTGAAAGTTTTTCTGGTAGATACTTCATTTGATTGATATGATACGAATGAGATGATGATGTTTTTATTGATGGGTATTAACAATATCCATGAATTAATGGTAGACTATTTCATGTTGGAAATAATTTGCAAAAAAAGTGGTATACGCCTGAAAAATGGCAAGTTTTAAAAATGCAATGTGTAGTAGTAATAAAATTGCTTAAAATACTCATAAAATGTCAAATTTGTCAAATGACAATGTCTTTGAAATTTGATAAAAAAAAGATTGGGATTCTATTGAAAATTTAGCAAGATAACCATATTGCAATAGAATTTTCAAAACAAATTTAATGAATCTTTAATGTTCTTCTTGGTATTTTCCTTTTAATGTCTCTATGAGGAATATTGTTCTTTTGTGGGCAATATCCGTGTTTCATGCAGATTTCTTTTGAATTTTCACCTTTCTTAATATAGCCGAGGACATCAGACATAATTGATTGCAAAGCATTTACGTACTTACACGCCTTAATAGCAGCGTCAGTCATTGAACCAGAGCAGACAGAAGGAAACTTCATTCTAATTTCTACGTTACTTAAACCTATGGCAAGATATCCTGGAATCCTGCTTACAAGTTCATTGCATGCTCTGCATGTTGTTTCATCTCTTGTGAAATGTCAAATTTGTCAAATGACAGTGACATAATAAAATGAAATCCTGAATTTATTGCAATGGGAGTAACTGTTCTGCATATATATATTATTTATATGAAATATATATTATATCGTAGCCTAAATAATGTTGTTGAGTAATTGTTCACATGTTAATCTCTTTTTCTAAAGAACACTTAAAAATTCAGAAATATTCTTTAATAGACTTTTCTTTTTTAGTCAATAAAAGCTGGCGTCACGAAAGGTGTCAATGAAGATGGAATGTAATCGAAAATATGTCTAGGAATATGTTGACAAGATAGAATTTTAATGAATTGAATTCATTCATTCTGAAGTGCTTGCGCAGACAATATGTCTCTAATGCAAGGAATTCAACAATATGAAGCCAATTGTTGCTATATGACGGTATGAGTTCTCTAACATATTATCTCCTCAAGTGTCTTGGAATGACTGAACATTGTTCACTTCTTAAGCTATATTACTCATTTTTCCTGTTTGATTAATAATTTAAAAGTGAATAATTTATTAAAATGCATAGTACTCCTACACTTTTGGTTTTGGAAAAAGTGAGTAATATATTTTGAGTATAAAGCCTGGTTGTCAAAAAAATTGAGAAAATGTCAGAAGATTGTAATTGCATCCTAAACTAATTTACTGAATTTTGCAAAACAACAATTTATTTTATTCTAATATTAATATATACAACAAAATAAATACATAATAAAAAAACAATTTCTATCTTGCAGGTACATCCCATTTGACCAATTTCTTGACAATCATTTGTGCATCGGGTTCTCCTTTCATTGCAGCCCTACAAATATAATCAGCAGCATCTTCTCTCTCCCCTTCCAATAAACCATTTGTTATCAGAGCGCCAATGTTGTACAATGCGTATGGTTCCTCTTTTTCTGCAGCTTGAAATAAAAGTGACGCGGCCAAATCCAAAGATTGAGGGTCATTCATCAAAAGCAAAGCTCCGTAACTTGATCTATACTTTTCATCGTAATTTTGTGCACATGTCCACATGAACTCCAATTCACAAGCTCTTGAGAATCCTTCAGCAGATAATGAGTATTTTGTCGCAGGAGGTGAAATCATCTCAACTTTTATGTCTTTCTTCTGAAGAAATGCTTTTTTGAAGGCATTCGGATCGAATTCAATGATAGTAAGTGATGGCTCTACATAGTTCTGCTTCTGTTCTGTTTCCCCTGAATTGTTTTGGGAGTTTTCATTCGAATTAGCTAAATTTTCTGTCACTTTTTGTTCTTCAAGTTTTTTGAGTTCTTCTTGTTTCTTTAATTCCTCTTGTTTCTGCATTTCTGCGAGTCTGTGTCTCATCTCCTCGTCTTTCCTGACAAGTTCTCTGGCTGCTGCAGCTGCTTTTTGTTGCATTTCGCGATCAGCAATTTGTTGTTTGAGAATTGCGATGTCGTTGATCATTTCTTCGGAATCTCTCTGCACAGAATTCTTCTGATTGTTTATTTCGTCTTTCTGCTTAACAATTTTCTGTGTATCGTCACGAATTTGTAAAATTTGATTTTCTAATTGGGAAGATTTTTCCGAATGTGACTTTAACTCAGAGATTAATGCGTCTTTCTTCGATTCAAGGTCGGCCTGCTTCAAAGTAAGTAGTCTTTGCCTTTGTACTGTCTGTTCTAACATTGCATTTACTCGATCATACTCGGATTTAAGGTTTGACACTTGTCCTTTCTTTTGGTTGAGTAAATCTTGCATAGCTTGATGATCCTGCTCTGTTTTTTCGACGTATTGCATAATTAATGGGCCAATACTTTCAAAATCTAATTGTTTCATGCTTAGAATGCGCGTAATCATTTGAGGAGAAAGCTTGGCATAGTTTATCGTTAGAAAAAGAGATGTTGCTTGTGTTCCTCTGATTTGGAGGATATTGAAATAAAATTCTAAAATTTCGTTAGTAACTTCGAATGTTTGGTTATACCACGTGATTATTCTGTAGATTATGTGACAAGGAATATTAACAAATTGCGGTTTATGAGCGAAAATAGTGAAATTATGAGCAATGTAATTTTCAAGAATATCTAATATAGTTTGGCATTGGTAGGACAATTCAATAGCTTGTATTGCTTGGTCTGCATATTTTGGAGCACTTAAAATATTTTGTATTTGTTCTATTAAAGATTTGCAACGATAAACAAGGGAACTTTTCAACAGAAATATTATATTTACGTATGTTATCTTGAATAATGGATCATTTATATATTGAACTAGTGTAGAAAACGATTTTTCGTCTAAACAATCTTTTAAAATTGCCGGAAAACTTCCTGTTAGATCTAAATCTTTGCTGGCAACTAGGGATATTTCATGAAACTTATTAATGTTCATATAATATCCAATGCCGTTATGTATAATATTCTGTGTATGCCAGTCTTCCATACTTAGAAAAGTGACAAGATTTTAGGTATAAAAACCATGGATAAACATCATGGAATAATGCATAAATAAGGTATGTCATTAAAATAATTTGTCTAATTAGCGATTTGGAAATTGGAAATTACCTAATATTTTCCCTAATCCAATAAATTTGTGGTAATAGCTTCAACTGATAAAAAGAAAGGACTTTCACGATTAAATTTGATGTTTTGACTGAAGAAATTTTTAAAAAAATTGAAAAATAAGAAGAAAATCAGCAAAAAAATTATTAGGCAGTGGTGATATTTTTATGAATGGATTTTCTAGGATTATACTACAACTTCATATCACTGATATAGAGGCTAAGTAAAAAAAAAAAAAAAAAAAGGTAGTGGGGCCTCCAGGCACTTCGTGCCCTCTAGCCCTGAAGATGTTTAGTATAAATGAAGTTTTTTGGGTACTGGGGGCCTCCAGGCGCGTTGCGCCCTCTAGCCCATAAAAAATTTTTGGTAGAGCACTCAAAATAGTATAACTTTGTCCGGACAAGTAAGGGTCTATCGTCGCTACAGGAAAAGTTACAGGCGTTCCAAGGAAGTATACTTTGAGAAGCCTTTTCTGTCACTTTTCAGGAAAAACATTTTTATTATTATATATAAATGAATTTTACAAAACCACCGTTACCGTTCTTTGGAAATAAGAGTAAATGTAAAGATATTCTATTGAGAGAACTTAAGAAACTACCGAATGGTCTAACATTTGTAGATTTGTTCGGTGGAAGTTTCTATATATCCCATTTGTGCCATACAATATTCCCAGACTCAAAGATTATATGCAATGACTTCGACAACTATATGGACCGTCTCAAACATATACCAGACACAAACAATATATTGAAAGAGTTAAAAGAAAAGATACCTATAGGTAAGATGGAACGTATACCATTAGATAACAAAAATATTGTGAGAGAGGTTTTGAAAAAAGCAGAATATATAGACTGGGATAGTATATCTGCTAGACTATTATATAGTGGTTCTATAAGAGTTCATGACATTGAAACACTTATGTCAAACGTTTTATATCTTAACTATACAAATGTTTTCAAAGAGAACATAGAAAAATATATTGAGGGTATAGAGTTTGTGAGATGTCATTGGACAGAGTTGTATGAAAAATATAAAGACAAGGAAAATGTTTTCTTTATAGTGGACCCGCCGTTCTATAACACATGGGATTTTCAATACCAAGTAGACTGGACTTTGAGAGACTCTTTAGAAACTTTAGACGTTTTACATAACCATCCATGCTTTTACTTTACATCCGATAAAAGTGGTTTGGAAACCGTTATGAGATGGTTAGAGGACATACATGACTATGAGTTTAGATATGACAAGATAGAATATGAGAGAGGTCCTATAAACTGGAGAAAGTGTCACAATAAAGAAATTTTACTAGTAAGTAAATGTGGTTTGAAATAGGACTACTTGTTTTAGGTTTTTTCCATTGTGTCATTTATTTATTTGACGTGGCAGAAAAGTACAGAGAATATGAAGATGAACCAATGCCTGCAAATGTTCAGTATATGTACTCGTAAGAGATATTTTTATCTAATATTAAATGGACGCACAGAACTTAGCAAATGCACAGCAACCTGGACAACCAAACCCAGAGAATATTCCAAATGAAGTTAGAATACAAACTGCAATGGCAAACTATGGTCAAGTGCCAACAGATGTACAAATGCAAACTGCCATGTCAAATGACGCTGCGTTAGGTTTGCCACCATGGTATGCAAATATGAGATGGAAAGAGTTTTATACAAACCCTGAAGTGGGATATAAACAACTTTATACAGATGACGCGAACACAGGAGTTGACCCAGAATATGTTTTCTACCAGAGGAGAAACAGAATGTATGAGCTCCAGTTAAAGAATGCTATGGAACTCAACAGGAAACGTAAGAGACTAGGTGGACATTAGATTTTTACATATAGTAAAATGGGTTTCTTCAGTAGTATTGGAAACTTCTTTCGAAATGTTGGAAGAGGTATATGGAATGGAATAAAAACCGTAGGAAGAGGAATTTGGAACGGAGTCAAAAATATTGGTAAAAGAGTAGGTCAGTTTGTTGGTATTATACCTAAAGACCCTGAACCAGAAGAACAAGCTCCTGTTATACAACAGCCTGAACCTGCACCACAGTCAAGTTGGCAACCAAATCCAACACCTCAACCGTATTAAAAAATTATATTTTTACCGTTCGATAGTAGTTGTATATGAAACTAAGTTCTAAGTAAAACGCATGGTATAATGGAATTATTCTCTTTCTTCCATCTGTAGTAAACCATACTTGAAAGTCTGAAATACTTCCACTTGGTGGTTCATATAGCTTTGTAGGTTTTTCGTAAAAGTCATTTGCCAAGCATAAAAAAGAGTTTTGTGCACCAGAAAATGAAGCATGAACTATAATAGCATCTGAGTCGAAAACATTTTCATATGTTCCATTAGGGTTTTCGACTTCATAAAAGTCCGGGGTGTACTGGATATGCTGCAGGCTGATTTAACATCCTCAGAAATCTATACCATGCCAAGTTGTTTATATTTTGTAGAAATATAAACGTTTTCTCCAAGGTCTTCTATTCTATTGATTTTAACAGTTGCATTTTTCCTGTCATATATAATATCGAGATGGTACTCTCCTTCGTCAATGTTATACTGGTTTGCATATTCGATATAGATATCGTTTATTTTTTCTTGAAAAGCTTGAAGAGTTGTTTCTAAGTTTACAAGCAAATTCACTTGTAAAAGTTTTCCCTGTTCAAATTTCTCATACGTACGTTTTTCTTTGTTATAGTATCGAACTTCAAAACCGACTGTAAATGGGGAAAACCATGTATGGCTTCTGAAATGAACTTCATTCTACGAAAGCAATAGCTTTTGTGACGGATGGGTCTCTTAACCATCTTAACGGGTAGTCAAAACGATAGCCTTCATGCTTTACGGTCTCTGTCTCAAACTTTTGACCGACATTAGTAAAAGTTCATCTAATGGTTTATTGTAGCAACTCTAGAATTTTCTTTCTATTGAAAGCATATTTATCTAGAATAAAAATGTCAAATGAAACAGCGTCTATGAGAGAAATACAACACAACGACAACTCATTATACAAGCTCTAAATAAGAACACAACAAACTTTTTCAAACTATTCTAAGATATCTGAGTCATTGAAAGAAGGAAACTTAAAACTGACATTAAACCCAATGACAGATGAGTTTCTATTTCAAGACAAGAAGAACCATACTGTCTGTATAAATCCAACAAAAGGAACTTTAAACGAGAAACCTATAAATGAACTTCTTTTGAAAGCAGATGTTGACAACAAAGCTGACAAAACATATGTAGACGATGCAATAGCAAAAGAAGAAGAAAGAGCTAACAAAGCTTATGCAACAAAAGAACATACTCATCCTGAACTAGCAGACAAAACATATGTTGACAATAAAATGTCAAGTGAAGTGACAAGAGCTGAAAACGAATATTCTAAAAAGACTCATACACATACAAGTTTTACAACTTTTACAGCAGATGATATTACACTAAACACAACCTTGCCAAGTAAAGGTCCAACAATACCACCGGCAACAAGTCTTGTAGATACTTTGATGTCTAATGACAATAGTATTATACATCTAAGACAGGAACTCAATGTGCTTAAACAAATTTTGCCGAATCTTATTTACCCGGTTGGCTCATTATATGTTTCAATGAACTCTACCAGACCAGAAGTAGTACTTGGTTTTGGAACTTGGACTCAAATAGTCGACAGGTTTTGTATTGTGCAAACTCTTCAAAGGAAACAGGTGGAAGTAAAACGATTCAGGTGAAAACTTACCTGCACACAGTCACTACATAGATTTAAGTACATCTCGAGAAGGTTGCATAAGCATAGATATTGGGAATGGTCAGGAATGACAAAAGGTAAAGGATATGATGTTAAAGACGACGTTCAGTTTGCTATAAATTGTTACTGGAGGAACACTCAGGGAGGAGGAGACCATTCACATTCGTTTCAGGATATTTACACAAACAACGGGACAAAGTAAAGACTACATGCCACCTTACATGACAGTTTACGCATGGTATAGAAATGCTTAGTCGTCATTTTTAACTTCTTTAGCATATTCGTCAGGAGTTGTCTTATATTTGTTAGAACTGTCTTTGAAAGTATACCACCTTGAACTTTGACAAGTTTGAAACGAGGTCTGACAATAGTAGTTTTATCTTCTGCTTGCAGTGTGTACATTTTGCCATGTTTGCCTAAAACTTCATAATATTCTCTTGTATACTTTCTTCTATTTTTACGAACACGAATGTGAGTACCTGTCGGGTTCCCATTTGTGTCATAGTCAATAGTATTTTCATATGGGTCGCGTTTAGGTATTTCTATTTTTACTTTGTCACCTTTCTGAGTTTGAAGCCCGGCATTCTTTCTTGTTTGTCTCTTTTGACTAAATTATTAAATATATAGTCTTTCTCTAAGTCAGGGTTGTTTTTCATTTCTTCGGGGGAGTGGTTTCCCAAACCTTTTTGTTTACGGTTATTGTAAATATTTAAAACTTGTCTCATCTTTGCCATGGAGAAGTGTCTATACTTGTCGTCATATGACATTTCATTTGCTTCACCACCTTGTGGTTGGTTTAAGTCTCTTAACATTTTTATACAACCGTCAATGACACCAAGAGCAGAATGGTTTTGGTCGACAATGAATATTGGTTTACATTTTTTGAACGCAGATAGTTTTTTTACATCATCTGATTTGAAAGAACTTTCACAGTCAGATGTCAGTTTTGTTGGATGGTATTTGTCAACGAATATTGTCAAAGCAGTTTTCACATCTAAAATATTTTTGGACCATAATGGTATGGCTTCACAGTATCTTGTGTTTTGACCGACAAATATTAGCCAGTATGGTGGTCCATCTGTTCTAACTCTCGGAATGTTTTCCAAGATATCCATAAACCAAGCAT